ATTTTCATTGTTGTACTGGATGTAATGAGTGGGCATATGCTAGGTATTTGAATCTTCCTGCTCAATACTCTCCAGGGTTTTATCAACATCGCACAGATGCCTCTCCTATTTAATCTTTCGTCCGTCCACCATCCATCCTAGATCAGTATATTTCCCCGGGATGCTATATATTTCACTTCGCGGCGGAAATACATTTCGCGAGTAATCTCTTATTTCCTAATTGTGGTATCTCCAACCTCCGAGTTTAGTTCTCGTAGAACCTTTTCTTTTGGTATTGTCCTACGCATCGCTCCTGGGCTCCTTAACCGCGAGTTCATTTACTATTACCCTTATTTGATCATAAGGGGGTGTCAAACTGAGATACCGCTGTTAGATAATTTCCCTTCCTTGATCCTGAATGCTCCAAAATGTACGTTAGCAGAAAAATCCTGAGCAGTTAGTCCTGAGGACACCACCCCAGACATCATGTGACACCAGTAGAAGTCTGTATCGACGTGTCCTAGACTTGTACAACCCACTGGTGCAAGTGGACGCGGAACTAATCCTTCACATGAGCAGTCTCCAGCTCCTGGTTTCTGTCCCCGATGAAAATACAACCTGCATCATACACATGAACTCCGATCCTCAACAATTCTCAGATCCGACAGTGAACCAAAGTTGCGAAAAGATAAGTGATGATGTTCCATCCTGCGCCATGCAGATGCACCCCAAGGTTCGTGTCCAAGATGGCGTTTCATTCCAACCGCGGTTCCGGTACTGCATTCCACACCCTTTGCATATTTCATTCCTGCTTTGGAAATATGATGACTCGTGAAACACGAGACTGTTTACATGCGGGCATTATCGCGAGGACGAATCATGACGATAAATGCACGACCCATCTATGAATACGAATGCGAAGAATCAAAATGACCGCGATGGCTGGACCTTTGCGAAGGCGAGAGCATGACATCTTCACACTTTTATTTCGAGAAACGTCATGGAAGGTGTCATTACATGGGGCAGTACTTCATGCAAAAAGCTGAAGATAAGGAATTCGCAAGAACAATGTTGACATTATTTCAACTAGGGATATATGTACAGGACTCTAACATTATCGACACTAAATAAGGAAGTCATAAACATCAAGGAAACCATTCGCAGCGCCAGTGCCGACCATGCAACGCTCCATCAGATTGATGAAAAGCGTTTTGCAGCCGTCAACTGTTTCCCCGTCCTTCTCAATCGCATCTTGTGCTATCCTCATCATTCTCCCTCTTACGCAGTACCAGCCGCAGCACCAGCCTGAGTCGCAACAAAAGCCGCAGCATCATTCGCATCCATTCCATACGTCAAATGCGGCGGCAAAACCAAAGAAGTTCCTTGACAAATGGCATCGCCGGTATGGCAAATGACATTCGTCTTCGCAGCTGGCACGTTGCCGACTGGGTCGCCTTCGTTTGGGTCGCCGAAGATGACGGCTGAGTTTACGAAGGCGGTTTCGTCGGCTGAGAGCATGGAGGCTGCATTATGGACGAGTTGGCCTCCTTGGCTGTAACCTCATCAGCATACCGTCTCCAAATACCCCTTCGTATTGGTTATGAAGGGAGGGATTTGGGAAGGAGGAAGAAGCTTACCTATAACCAGCCATAACCAACTTCGTCTGCGGACACGTCTGCATTGCCATCCCCACCATCTGCGCCATCAATGCGCTCCCCTCAGCATCGCCACCCGCCAGGAACCCCGGAATATCAGCCGGATAGTCAATCCCTTGAACAGCAACATTCTGCGCCCCCATCATCTGGCCGATCGCCTGGACGAACGGCGGCCCGGCGACCGTGCCCATGTTTCCGGCTTCAGTGGTGCCACGCGCGAAGAGCACGGTCACGTCTTTGCAGACGCCGTTTTGGAGGTCGTTCTGTGTACTGTCACCGAGGGCACGGGCCGAGATGGGGAGGCGGCGCGATTTAGTGTCGATGGCGGAGGAGGTGTGCTCCATGAAGGAGAAGGAATCTAGGGTGCGTTTGGAGATATCGGCGAGGGGGAGGCGGCGGTTGCTAGAGGGGAGGGCAAGTGAGAGGGTGGAAAGGGTGGAAATTAGGATAGTGGTCTTCATGGTGGTGGAGGAATTATGTAGCTTATATACAGAGGAATCAAATGAATATGCCTGAAATTAAAGGCATTTGTTGCCTGAGCAGGGAATGGGATGTACGTCTTGAAGTGGAAAGGGTGGTGATGATAAGAGTCGAGAGTTTGAGGCCGACCTACCTTCTTATACAACTGAAGTTTGAAGTCGCTTACAGTAAGTATGGATATGCATAAACGAAATACCCGGTAGTCTTGGTAGTTTCTCTTCAGCGGCGTTCAAGCCCATCCCAGACACTATGGTAATGGCCGCATCGTGCGATGCTGTCTGAAGATGTCAGGTCTGTCTTCATTTTGGTCAGCCAACCATGTTCAATTTCCTCTCTCTTCCTCGGCAAGCTTGACAGAGGATGACATGCGATAGGTTACAAGTGACAGCCGCTGCCCAGGTGTTCCCATGCATGTCGGAGAGTTTGGGTCCAGGAATAGGATCAGACGAGAGAGAGAATCCTGAATCAATTCCTTTCAAAAGCCGTTTACAAGGAATCCCCATTTGGGTCAGAACATACAGATTTGTCATTGCATTTCTCGACGTAGTTGGAGCTATGCCTCGGGGCGATATACCAGGAAGAGGGCTGAGGAAGGAAACGTTGCTGAGGAAGCGCGCACAGAGGGCCTAGGAGGTGTACTTGGCGAATGAATGAGAAAGGTTTTGGATCCTGATACGTTTGTTCTCAGCCCTGCCCCAACTTGTGTGAAGATAGGAGAGGAAGTTATTTTCTGCAGTTAGTGATGATGATGTTTATTACGGTCAGCCACAAGCTCAGGGTTTACTACATATATTCCGAGTAAATTGAATGAAGCCATCCTAGTCGGAGTGATGTACAAAATCTGATGATTAGAGGGACCCAATGTTGTTGACAGTTCATCGCGTTTCACCAGAGCTCGGGACAGCCTCGGCTGGTCGGATGAGAATTCGCATCATGTTCTGTTTCAGGGCCGAGGCCAGGAGCTAGGGGAGGACGATACCGGGCTATGCGTTGGCCATGAAAAGCGCCGGATGCACCGTATGCAGTCCATATGAGAAGCTTGGTTCTCTTGATGGAGGTGATGCAGTGGAGTTTGTGGGGGATGTGCGAGGCAGGTTAGCGAAGCGAGGGCCAAGTGTCACGTGGTTCCAGGGGTCTATTCTAAGGCCGAACGTGTTCCCGCCTCAGATCATATCTACTTTACTTACGACTCTTGTGCATTATAATCCTCCCAGATGTACCTCAAGCAGTGCCGGGAGTTGAATGGATGCTAAGATATTGAGGGTTGGCAACGAGATCCGAAAGCGAAGCATTGAAGACAGAAGATTGATTGAGACGATGGAATTTGGCGGCAGTGAAGAGAACATCTAAAAATTAGTTCCGCATATTGTTCAATTGCTGATGCCTAGCCTCTCAGACAACCTTCTTCAACGCTGAGGAATGTTCCATAGGTATTATTGAAGACACGAGAGTTCGTTCATTCCGCTCTTTTCAATCACGAGGCTATCCAGCGCTGAGAGATGAGCTTCTTCTAATTTTAAGAGCTGATTGAGAAGAAATCTGCACATTTCCCCAGGAATATGTTGCCGACGAAGACTTCAGGGGAAGAGTGACTGAAGTGGATGTCGAGAGACCATCGGAATTGGATTCGGCATTCGGCTTTGTGACTTAGGCGGAAAATCTCATCCTTCCTAAGGCATGTTCGGTCGAAAGAGCAAGCTCTTTGAAGAAATTCCACTCGGTTTCTGTATCGCACCTATTTTAACATCTCTTACAGCGGCTCAAAGGGCGTTTTCTCACCTAGAAGGCCATTGAAAGGGCTGAATTCTTGCGCAACATCCTGCATGACTCATGTCTCCATGCTAGTCAGCAATGATTACATCTCGACCTGACAGCCTCAACTTTCGCGTCGCGTGGATCCCGGGGCGACATAAAAACCTCTTGAATTCCACGATGCAGTGCACAAAACAGTCAAATTGACTTCAACGCAGCAGCAATGCCATTAGAACTCCACCCCATGGTCGAGTCCGACCTCCCGGACTTTGTCCGCATCCAATTCGCCGCCTTCAAAGGCGGCATGGCCTCCAAATTGACCCCGAAACCCCGGTCGCCCCAGAAAGAGCAGAAGATGGTGGAGAAACACATCAAATCCTTCAAAGAAGATCCCGATGCCCACTACCTGAAGGTCATCGACACGGATCTGGGTGGGAAAATCATTTCGTGCGCAAAATGGCGGATTAATTTGAAGGAGAGGACAGAAGAGGAGATTCAGGTGCAGCTACCGAAGCCGGGGAAGGATGAGGAGGGAAACCAAGCTGCTATCGACTTTATGAATTATTTGACTGAGAGTCGGGTTGAGTGGATGGGTGGGAAGCCGTTCTACTGTGAGTTCACGTGGTCCTGTTATAGCTATGAGCAAGTCGCGAGCGAAGGCGAGAAATGAATATAAGCTAATTGGTACAGTCTTGCATATTCTCATAACAGATCCTGACCATCATCGCCGTGGCGCTGGAGGCATGCTGGTGAGATGGGGAGTTGCGCAGGCGGATGAGGCACAGCTGCCAACGTATCTCGAGGCATCGGATGCAGGAAGGCCATTGTATGAGAGATTTGGGTTCTATCAGGTTAAGGAGACAATATTTGATCTGTCTAAGTATGGCGGCGAGGGCACCGAACGCAATACCGCTATGCTGCGGGATCCACTACCGAAGTGAGTCAGGCTGGGTGGGAACGAAGGGGGTTCTCATAGCCTGGGTGCGGAAATGACATACATTTCCATTCCCCTTCATAATCTCCTTCTAGAACAGACTTCCTTCATAGCAAACCTTAAGGCCAGATTAAACCAGCAAACAACTAATAGGATGGGCATTTCTTCACTCACTTCAGCAGACAGCTACGTCCTACACTACGGCGCCGATTGCAATCCTGCCAACTACATGAAGCCACCCCGGGCCTCTCTACATTATTCTGCTCCATCCTCCTGGGCTTCATCTGAATTGGCCTCTCCCTCTTCAAATCCCTCTTCTTCACTCTTAGCACCCTCACCGTCATCAACCTCCCCCAGCGAAGGCATATCCTCTTCCTCCCTCTCAGCACCCTCTCCCTCAGTATCGTGATTCTTCTGATTTTCTCCGGTAATATTGCTCAGAGATGGCTCCACAAGCTGGGAATCCTCACTCTCAGCGTTCTCTCCGTCCCTATTCCGATACTCCTTCATTCTTCTCTCAGCATGTCTCAATATTGTCTCCAGATGCCGATTATGGTCTGCCAATGTAGCCTCTAAGATTACGACGCATGATAAGGGTATGGTGGCTTCGCGGGCGGATGTGAAGCTCTTTTTGACTTTGAGTGGGCGTTGGGAAATAGAGATGACGGGAAATTGCATGCGCTTGTGGCGCTTGTGGCGAATGGACGTCTTGCGGGCACTGCGATTGCCGGGAAACATAATGGCGCATAGTAGCTGATCAGAGATAGGTGGGATGTAGGGTAGAAATTGAATCCCTAATATACAGGGTGGTGATATGAGGGAAGGAATGAGTGGTGGATGCTGGTATGTGACAGTGGGAGGTTGGTGTTAGTACTGACTGAATAGACAATGTTAATCCGAGCACCATCTCTTTGGGCTGACCCCGGACATCAGAATCATCCTGATATCTCAAGTTCGCCAACGTCAACCGAAGGGGCTCCTTTGTCGCCACTCTTTGCGGCTAAAACGATCAGATTGAAGTCATGAATGGATAAAGAAAGATGAAACGTACTAAAGGGTCTAAGAAGGACTCAAGGGCATGCGGCTGTCTAGGGAGGTACTGTATCATGTGCTTCTCTGGGCGAAAACATGTTAAGAGGTGGTGCGAGTGAGAGGACATGGATCGGGGGAAGAAGATAGAGGTGAGATTATTTGGGTCGGGCTGGGGTGGTGGAAAGAGCTAGGACGGAGTGCAGGTCGGGGAAGGAGAAGGTATACATTAGCAGGTCCGTGGCCTATGACTGCAAAGATGGGGGGAAATCACACTCCCTGTGGCGGAGCGGGAGTACAGCCGCAGAAAGGACTAGCCTTTGCTTTTGAGGGTCAGCAATAACGATTCCGCGGAGATATGTGTATCTAATCCTTCTTTACATTCACAAAGGAGATGAAAGATATTTGTTTGATTACACGAAAAGTCTTTCTAATTACTTTTTTTGCGTAACTGCAACGAGAACCAAGACATCGTAGAAGAAAGAAATGATCAACAATGAACCGGTGGCCTCGTTGAAGGAATAGGGGGGATACAGGTATATCTGCTACACATGGATGAAGAAGAGCAAGTAAATAGATGAATACGACCTAAAGGATGAAGGAGTCGACGATAACCAGAAGGAAGATAGCTCCCCATGCTCCGTTAGAAGCCACATTCGAGCACCAACCTGTGCCGACTGTATTACATGTCCTCCCACGTCCTCCCATCCTATCCATTTTCGTATCAATTGTCGGGGAAGAAGAGTGTGAGGTGTGGGTGAGACTCTTCATACTTGTCCGTTCTTCACCAGGCATCAACTCCGACTCCCTGACCCTCTACTCAACCTCCCTAGCCCTCCTCACGGCCCCTCCCCATACTCAGAATCAGGCTCGGAGGCCCTCAGGGCGGCGACGGCAGGTAAAGGCATCTGGACTCCTCAAGGGAGACATTAGCGTGTGTCACTCGCCCGAGATTGCATCTACGGCCACCTTCCACAATGACCAAATTGCCACAGCAGATTTCGAGGGTGGTGTTGTCGTAGAGATAATATATATCTGCACGAGAACAATCGAAGGCAACCACGAAGAAACATCGCCTATGATGCAATGCCCGGTGTGTACGGATTAGAGAAAGCAGTGTTGCGGATGCGAGTGGATACTTAGGCAGCTGCATTGTTTCACATATTAGCTTTTTTGGCGATGGAGTAAGAGAATTGGTACCGGTAAAGGAAATCGGTGGTCCAGCCACCAAAAAATCCTTGTGGGTAAAGTCAATAGATGACCATCTGAGGACAAAGGGTTGAGACCGAAGACATACGTCTGTGTCGAACTGAAGGAGGTAGAGACGACCAGCGTCTCCTTCGGAGAGAACAAACGCCGGTTCCATAGATATGGATCCACATTCATTCAGGCGTTAAAAGAGCGGCATAGATGGCAGGGCAAAGGGAGTTGTGTTTCAATCGTCTCGAAGGCACAAAGTTGGGAGTGGAAACTACCATTCCACAAAAGCCAAGAAAAAAAAAAAGCTCTGTTAAAGCTCGTAAGAAGACTTGAAAACCCGCCTGGAAGAGTAGGGATGAGGTGGTAAAGAGGGGTGAGGGGATTGAGAAGGAGAAGAGAGTTTTCTGAGAGATGGGCAGCGAAATCACGCAAAGTGCGGGACCGGTTCCTGGGGAAGGAGCAAAGGTGTTATTATTCTCTATTCTAGGGGTTTGTAAGTATACGTTAAAGAGCTGGTCTAGGCCGATGTCATCGCTTTTGCTCGTGATATTTGAAGGGTCGTCGGGCGGATGATTGGATTAGTGGTCTTGGAGGCAGAATAAGTTAGTTGATTTCCCGAGTTTAGAAACTTGGGCTCGTGAGTGGATTGAACGGCCTGGCTGGCGTGGCGTAGAAGAAGAAATTGTGTTATAGCACACTACGCCACTTGCAATCTGTTGACCTGTTTGACGGGGAAGACGGCGTAGGGAGGTTGGGAGGGCTCATGGGAAGGTAGATAAGAGTAAGAAAATCGTGGTGCAAGTTTGAAGGATCCTTGAACACCGATTAAGTTATGAGGCAGTTAGTTGCCCTCATCCACTCTTTCCTGCACCCGGGTGCGGAGCCCAAAACGGAAAGGCTCCGGTTCCGCGCCACAGTCCGATATTCGAGAATTTCTACCAAGCCTCTTTCAATACAAGTATATGTATGGTATTATTCTTGAATTTTGCCCACAAAGGCACAAGGGAAGTGGTGCACAGGAAGCGTGCAGTGATTTGTCACTGAGATGTCAGTTCGAATCCGTCCCTTCTTCATCACATGTCCGGGTTGCTTTCATGCAAACAACCCGGACAAGCCCATTCATTTTGGGATTGAGCGCCTCTTGGAAGATATCCATGGATAGTGATTTTCATATTTACTCTCTTTTTGCGCTTGTGAGATCCGAATTTTAGGGGTTAGCGCTCCTTGGAAACGAAGGAAGCACGGGGTGAATCCCAAAGGGAAACCAAAACTGTTCTGGATGAGACTAGGATACTATGATCCTATCGACACGTGAAGCAAATTCATGTTTAAATTATTAACCTTCCCTCTGGCGCTGCCTCGCCCAAATTACCGTCACCACGCCTATTCACAGTACAAAATCAGCCTTCAATACCGGTGGCAGAGGTCCTTCACCTATTTCCTCACCTAATTCCTCTCCCTGGGAATTTCACTCCCATTCAGCCTCCAAACCCTTCCGCCCCTCCTATTTTCCGCCCCAAATACCTGCTGCAACTTACAAGTCATCATCCCCATCCGATAATTCTCATTATTCAGCATCCCCTCCAGAGTAATCTTCCATGTCAATTTCGCGCCGTCAATCCTCTCAACCGCCTTCCTCAAATCTGTGAAAATCTCCCATTTGACACTATCCGCTACCTCACCATCCTCTCCGGGCACCAAAGCGTGAAGGTAGTCGTCGATATCGAAATGGAATATTTGGAGCGATGTAGTTTCGCTGAGAAATTTGATGATTGAGGTCCAGAGCGGCAAATCATCTGTAAAAGTGTGTCGAAATTTATGGGAGAGGACGAGGGAGATGCAAGTTAGGTTGGCACGGCCAATGGGACCAATGTAACGGAGGAATGTGGAGGCGGAGGGTGCGTTCATGGCTTTGAAATGCTTGGTGCTGCAGAGGAAGGAGAGGCTTTCGGCGCGAATTTGGCGTGATACACGGAGAATTGATGGTTGGAGTAGACCTCTGAAAATGTCACGTGGACCAGTGATGTAGGCCGCGAGGTAACAGAATTGGTGCGGATTAAAGATTAGGTAGTATATGTCATTGCGAAGCTCTCCAGGCAGGTCTAGGAAGGATGGTTTGGACTCGTCCTGGCGGCGTGAAGCCAGCCTGCCCCATTCAGCCGGGGTTTCAGCGGCCTTCTTGTCCCATTGGTGATTTAGAGTGACATGCCAAAAGAATTGATATAAATGATGAATTTTACCTCTTCATCCCCATCCTCCTTCTTTCCACCCTTGAATCGGGTCCGCATCCAGCGCTGAAGACGTCCACGGAGGACTTGCATCTCATGGGCGAACCCAGCTGAATCAGGCTGGGTTAGCCCTTGGGGGTCATAAGGGTCGTATTCTGGCTTAGATTTTGAGTTCGGCATTTTCTCGAAAGCTGATCAGTGAAAAGTAGGTGAGTGGAAATCAATCAAGCTAATGATGCAGGCGGTAATGAAGTCCACCAGCCCATGTCAAGCTAGGCCATTTTGGGCCTAACACCCCACCTCGTATTGAATACGCCCTCCTTTACAACAAACGGCTATCCCCAATAGCTAGGGGCTGGTATCTGGTAGAGGGCAAGAAACCTTCAACATATATTTTATTTTGGGGCTGATTTTTGCATCCCTATGTAAGTTTCCAGATTTCCAGACCTTACGAGTTCGGCACCATCAGCCGATCAATATCCGGCCCCCAACCGCCAGTCATACTAATCTTCACAGTATTCGTCCCCGACTTCAAATCCGTATGCAAGCTACTACTCTCGGGATCATTCCCACTATTCGGCAAAAACGCCAATCTCTGCGCCGATCCCCCATTAACACTAATATCCGCAAACCGTTCGCTTGCATCGCCATTCCTATGTTTAATCCTTATCGTCGTTCGGGTTGTCGCCGAACTGCTTACACTCGCAAAATACGCCGTTCCGGTTTGGCTGCCACCGATGTAGCCCGCGGCGTTCCCGTTTGAGCAGCCGGAGCAGGAGACGGTACGAGCACCGCCGGAGAGCTCAGCGGATTCGCCTTCGTAGGAGTTTTCGGAAGGGCCTGAGGTCATGGAGCCAGTGGCGACATTGGGAACCCAGTTTACTGCGTTCTTCATGCTTGCTGTTGTCCCACTGATCTGCAGAGGCAACCAGACATACGTGCTCCTCATCAAATTACTGCTGACCCATCTGTCGCCCATGTAGATGAAATTGTCGCCGAGGGGCAGGATAAACGTGGTTTGGCTAGTATACGTCTTAGATCCCGAATCCGCGAAAGTTTTCCAGGAAGACCAAGGACCGGAGATCTGAGTGGCCGTGCTGTAGACGTTGTCATTTGGATCCCAACCTGTGAGTTTGGAGCCAAACATGAAGTAGACGCCGTTCTTCTTGATCATGGCCGGGGATTCAATGGATTCACTCCAAAGGTAGGTGCTTGACTTCACGGTGAGGTAATCGTCGGAGAGGAGGTCTATGCGGAGGCCGTTTTGGCGCTGTGAAAAGAATGAGCCACCGTGACAACGTCTTTCACAGAATTGACTGTGGTGAAGGCAAAAACGGGAAAACTTACATCCTCGGTCAGCAAATAACCTTTTTCATCATCATCAACAAACACACCCTGATCTC